TGGGTGAACCGAGGCGCACCCACGATCGCTCGCGCGGCTGCATTCTGGACAAGCTGAAGTTGCCGAATGCTCTTCAAGGGCATTTAGAGGATGAATGCTCCTTATCTTAAAAAGAACATTTCAAAATTCGCTGCCTGTGTATGAATCATGCATCAATGTACGTTTATTAAATAAATAAATAAAACGCCTTTCAAATTCTTTCTCTGTTATGCTACTAGTTACATATTTAGAGCCTCCATGATAGAGAACAATTCTACTCCAGTGCTTGTTCAGAAAAACCAGCTACCAGTGACTATTAAGCTAGATTCTTCCCATCCTATACTTGCTTGCATCTGTCTCTTAGAACTCCTCAGACCAAAATTATTTTAAAATATCCATTTGTTTAAGGAATATTTCAACAACTATAAATTAGAAATTCTTGCTAAATGTAAAAGTAACAATAAATGATTATTCTCTTTCCTCTTTTCTAATCAATCTTAGCTTCGACTTTCATTCTCTTCCCCTTCACTATTCCATTCTCCCCACTGATGACAATTTATCCCCAATCTTTCCCAAGACATCACTTAATATTTTTGATTAATATAAATAGTTCTTCATTACATGTGTTGAAGATGACAAAACCTGGACTTGTAAATGATCACAAAAGCACAATACTATGATTCTTTTCATCATGTTAATCAAAACCCCACAGACAGTCCACAGCTACCGTGGTGTATTGCTTTTATGATTTGATATATATTCTTTATTGGAATTAAATCATCCACTACTCTCAGGAGAAAATTCTTACCTTCATATCGGTCTCTCTTGGAATGTGGTCCTTAAAGTCTTCAATTGAACTCACAAGGAAAGGAATGTGATAGGATAAAACCTAGAATAAGGGAACACAGAAAAATAATTTATTTCTTATATATTCTCCCTTTTTTCAGCATTTTATGATTTCTGCATATAGTTATCCCATGCCATCCTCAATTTATGCATGTCAGCTAAGTGAAGGCTTACTGAGACCTTATTTACCTCATTTACAGTTATTAGCACTTAATTACATTTACTTTTGTAATATAGTTCGCTCAATTTACGTTAAGGTAATTGAATGTTTTACAGTAGAGTTACAATGCACCACACAGTACTTACATCCCTAAGCGCTTCTTGTGCAAGTGATCGGAATGATAAAATAACACCAATAATAGTCATCCTCTTCAAAACACTATCAACAGCTGGAAAAAAAATGTAAAGTGTGAAACAGAATGGCAATATTTCATTAAGTTATGCTCATAAACAGCATTTTTTTGTCCGTGTTAAGTTCTGTAGGACAGCGTTCCCCCAATCTTTTGGGCACCAGGGTTCTGTGGATAAAGGTTTTTCCGTGGCCCAAAGAAGGCGTGGTTTTGCATGCTGCCTGCATCACGTGGATGGGGCTTCACTTATTTACGTGGTCCGGTTGCTGGCATGCCACAGCTCGGTGCTGGTCTACGGATCTGGGGTGGTGGTGTTGGAGGACCCCTGCTGTGGGAGGTGGAGCATGAACCAGGAGGAAAATATTTGCATTTTAAAATCTCATGGACACACCCTCCCGGCCCAAAATCTCCCACCATAACCAGAATTTCTGGAGGAAGACCCCTGCCTTAAGCTATCAATGGAAATCAACTAGAAAAAGGGACAATCAAGATACAGTCCCATACAGAGAGAGAACTACAACGGAGAACTTCATTCAAGGTACAGTTCCCAAAGGTTGCTCGTAAACTGGCCGCGAGCAAGATTCCCTCTAAATATCTCAAGCACTGGCTTGATCCGACATCGATTTATGCTCAAGGTCATTTGAGCCTTACCTAACATTACTACCTTGAGCAAGTGTGAAAGTGAAAAAGGAATAGGTGAATTTCGCAGAAAAGATGTGAAGTATAACTAAAGTATATACTTCAGAGTGAAGTATAGCTCTGCCTTTGCATGTCTTTCAGTGACCAAGAAGCACCATTTCTCACAGGTGAAAGCCTCCAAATAGTTTTCAAAAGTGGCCTACAGCACATATGCAAGAATTATTTATTCATATCCTCATAAGGAAATGGTGATGGCTAGAAAACCATTTAGAGCTGATAGCCAATGCAGGCATTTGGACTTTGGGAGAACAATACTATTTCTATAAATACCTACCTATAAATACCTGCTTCTAGAAGATGTCTATCTTGTTAGTAGTTCCTGTGTACCACTGCTCATAAGTTAATATTGTCTACACATTGGCGAGGCCCTGCATATCACCTGCATACTGATTGTCCCTGGCTTCAAATCTTCACATGGATTTCATCCAGCCTTTCACATGGATGTTACAGAACACAGAGGACAACATAGATCCCTGCAATACCTCACAACTAGACCAAACAAACCAGGCTCAATAGTACAGTTTCATCATTATCAGAGTGACACCAAATTCTACATAACAAGCAGTTCTAGGAAATTAATGTAATAAATGGATTTAAAAAAAAATCAAGACAGAAAATCAACAGGGCTGCATTCTCTTCTAATAAGGATGATCTACCAATGCAGTTTCAGAACTGAAACCAGGCCTGTATCAGGTACAGATCTACCACAGAAAATATATTTCACTTAACCATATCAAAGTGGAAGGCCAACCTCCATTCTACCATCTCATCCAACAGGAAAATAATTGCTACTGAACAGTAGTAATCCAAAACCCTAGGCAAGGAAATTTGAGAAGAAGGCATGCCACTTCCTTTTTCTTCTTCTGGAAAGAAAAAGTCTGCAGGCTCTCGAGATGACCATTTCCATTTGCCCCAATCCAGTTGGCTTTTTGCAAAACTTTAAGAACTTGTTATAGACCCGGGCCTGGGGCTCTGAATGTGTTAAGAGCTTCGTTACTTGGCTTTACCATTCGTTGATTAACCATCACGGCTGCTGCCTGTATTTTACTGCTTTTGTGGATGCTTTTATTGCTTAAATTTTTTAAAATTATTTAAAATTTTAGAACTGTAAGCTGCCCAGAGTCATCTGGTTGAGTTGAAGGCTATAGAAACTGATGAATGGATTGATTAATAAATACATATCCAGCTGGATTTAATTAGCTAAGATGATCAAGGGTAGAGCGCAAACAGTGGAGTAGCCCCTATATTCTGTTTAAAACTCTGGGTTGCAGAAAATAAAAGTAATCCCATATCATTTAGCAAAACAATGGCCTAATTACTTCAGCTCATACTGCAGCTTTCTCAAACCTAGCCCCCACCAGTCTCTGGCTCTGAATTCTGAATGAAAGGTAACAAACTAGGAAGATTAAGTTAAGTCTGTGAAATGCAAATCAGATCGAAGACTGAATCAAAGGGAAAGAATGAAAAAAAAAATGAATGCTCTTTTTCCAGAAGCTTGTTTCCAGAATCCACTTTGATGTCATCTTAAAATTCTGTTAAGCTTTTAAAATATTTGTCTTTATACAGTTTTATTTGTGAATTTCATTCAGCTCACGAATTAAATAGGTTGCTGTATCAGCCATATATGACTGTTCATAAATTTAAGCAATTCGTTAATGAAAGTCCTATTATTTTTAATGAGTGTAGCTTGTTAATTTTAAGTTTTTATTTGAAAGTGTTGATCTATTTTGGCTATTTATTTTTTTGTGACTGCGAAACTTTTATTATCCATTACTTTTACAAATATGAATATTTACATCTTTTATTGATTAGAATACTTACATGACAATCTTTTGAAGAGAGCTGCCATCTGATCTGGTTTATCAAAACTGGTCCTCATTTGTGTTAGGACTTCAACATTCTCAACCACAAGTTTCTAAGACGAAGCAAGATCTCAGGTCAGGCACAGATCTGAGTATAGTAATAAGTGCATGCTTTAGAACATTTCAGTGAGGCAAGCAGGAAACAGCTCATGAAATCCAGATCTTCCTACTATCTGACCAGAAGAACTATGTCATTACACTATTTTAGCCTAAATACACAGCAAACAGAAAGCTTCGAGTGTAATAATAAAAGCTCTGTCTGCTTCATAAAGCATTTATTGTTCTAATCATCTCACAAAATTGGCCAAAGCTGGTTTGGAATAACTGGATTGCATTCCTCAATCTGGGCTAAGGTGGCCTAAAAAGAAAATAGAGCAGAGCGGAGCAGAGCAAAAAGCACAGAAATGCAGAATAGAGAGCAAAGCAAAATAAAGCAAATTATAAATAACATTCTCTGCATAATGTGCAAAGAAAATTGAAAGCATAACCACAGCAGAACACAATATCCAATACAGTACATCATTGGTCCACATCAACATCATTTTTTATAGGTTTTCCTCATGGAAAAACAACTTACATTTTCTGAGTTTGGTCTGGCTAGAGCTTCAACACATTCCCTTGTATCATTCCTTCTTCTATTTTGGCAGGATTTTTATAGTACACTTTTTAGACTAATTTATAAGATATATAATTTGCATTCAAAGAATGAAAGCTATAGCTCTAAGGCTACATACCATATCACTCTGCACAATACTACATCTCAAGGATGAAATTTCCTGAATCATTACTGCAGGGGTGGGTTTCAACCGGTTCGCACCGGTCCCTGCAATCCGGTTGGTCGCCGAACCCGGAAGTAAGTAACTTCCGGGAACGGTGAAGCCCCCCCCGTGCGCGCGCGCACCCGCTCCTTACCCGGTTTTGACGAATTCTGCGCTTCCACGCATGCGCAGGACGCATACAGCGCCTGCGCGATCCTCCAGGAGCAGCTGGAGCATCGCACACATGCATGCCGCACACGTGCGCGAGGACGCCGCCGGCCTCGTTCCAACCGAACCGGTTGGAACGGGGCGAGAAACCCACCCCTGCATTACTGGATTTCCTTAAATTAGGGATAGACAACTTTAAACCAGTCACATTTCGGATTTTAAATTCCATAAGCAGCCAAGGCAAGAAGTTGTGCTTCAAAGTATCAAGGGGGGCATTTGTTAATGCAGAGCTGGCCCAGTAAGACGTGGTGCAGACAATTTGGGGCACATTATGTTATGCCCGTGACACTCTTGTTTTATTGCTGCATTGTTGCAGTGGGTTTTTGGATATAATGCAATCTGCTGGTAAATCACTATAAAACCCTCAATGGGTTCAGGATACTTGCAGTTTTTGTGTTCACCCCATCAGAACAAATAGCACTGACATGCACCAGGTCCTGTCCATAAAGAAATATGATTTTGTAGGGTTTCAAAGTCATGGCTTCTCTGCCATGGTATCTGCCCTGTGGAACAGAATCACCTCAGACCAGCTGGGCCCTGACCTTTCTGGATTTTCATAAGGGCCAGGATGTTCTCCTAGGCACTAAACCAAGAGGTTAAACCAGTTATGTTGGTGGATTTGTGGTTTGATCTCTATGGATTGATATTCAATTTTTGGGTCTGATCATTACACATTGTTTTTTAAGTTTCTATTTGTTGCATTATGCTGTGTTGACTTTATTACTTGCTGTGTGCCCAGAGTCATCACCATGAGGTAGGTGCTAATACAAATTGTTTAAATAGATAAAAAGGGCATATGGCATCTAAAAAAGGAAAAGTTATATGTAATCAGATGTAAAAGAGCTGTCCAGCCAATCCCAGGCATTTATGATCTACGGAGATATGCTGTTTGAGTATAACTGATGGTTAAACCAACAAGTTTGTGCACTTTAAGAAACTACAAAAATTACAAAACTACAAAACATTTTCCTAAAGTGAAACAAGTTTGCCATTCAGATGAAATGCAGGGGAAAATCCTGATGAATAAGGACAAAAGATGATACTAATTTAAATCATTTGAGGGATACCTTATTTCAAATTTGACTGTTAAATTATAAAAACAGTATCCATGCAAGATTGTTGAAAAGCTACCTTGAGTTCAGCAACCTGTGAGGAAATATGCCACATAAGACTTTCACTTAAGAACTTCATACCGTATGGACCAAGGAGTTCTGATAGGGCTCTCATTTCTAAGGAAGAAAAATCACATTCATTTGTTTTAATATTATCTATCTATCTATCTATCTATCTATCTATCTATCTATCTATCTATCTATCTATCTATCTATCTATCTATCTATCTAAAATCACATTCATTTGTTTTAATATTATCTATCTATCATCTATCTATCTATCTAATCTATCTATCTAATCTATCTATCTATCATCTATCTATCTATCTATCTATCTATCTATCTATCTATCTATCTATCTATCTATCTATCTATCTATCTATCTATCTATCTATCT